CGTATTATCATCAAAATGAAATAACTCTATTCATTTATTTATTTGTATCTTTAATATCTTAAACAATAATCTAAATATCATTTTTATTTTATTCATTCTTCTTTTGAATTTAATATTTCATTAGAATATTAGTGTTGTTCATTTTTAAACATTTATTAAATCATTTTATTCTTTATAAACATTTTATATTCTATTTCATTTAAATATTAACTTGATTTGTAATGTTTCATAATGATTAATAAAATATTCATTTAACAATTTAATCAAAAAATATAATCTCTTTGATAATTAACTCCATTCTTTCATTGTTTCACTTTAAATTACTTTATTATTCTTTTTACTTATTGTTTAATTAAATTATATTCAATAAACATGATTTGATTATTAAATTGTTTGTGTTTAAATTTATTTAATGTATAATTCATTCATTCAATAATTCTCTCATCACCATTTGTTAATATCTGTTTATATTTTTCTTTAAATGAATTGAAGATACAATTTCTTGAATTTCTTCTTTTTCTGTAATGAAAGAACAAATGAAACAAATAATTTTAATTATCACTTTAGAATCTACAAGTGTTGTTATTTGATTTTTTAATACTTTCATATTTACATCATTTTGATAAATACCATGTTGTCCAATAGGTTGTTTTGAACAATAGATTGTAAAATCCACAAACAATAAAAATAACATCTTCATTTGTTATTTCTAAATGAACTTTACCTATTTCATATTGTCCATTCATTTTAATGAAATCTTTCCCTTTCTCAATATTTTCTACTAACTCTTCATGATTATTTATTTCTTCTTTGAGTTCTTCTGATTTTATTTCTGTTTTTTCACTTTTAGATTTCTGAGTTAAATATTTATCACTCTTCTCTATGATTTTGTACATTAATTTACCATCACTCTCAATAGATTCAATTCCCATTTTTAACATTTCAATATCTTCTTTTGATGCTTTCCATTTATTATCTTCTCCTTTAAACCCTTATGAATGACAGAAATTTATCCATCATTCATATTTTCAATTTCAACTGTTTTCCTTGTTGATTCTTTCCATATTTTTCTGTCTTGTTGGTTGTCGTGTGAGTCAGCCATGAATACTTCATTTCAGTTGATGGGTAGTATTTAAGTAAATAGATATTGAATAGTGATGTATTTTTACAATGTGAATACGTGTTGTCACGTTTATTGTTTTTAAATAACACAATTTATTCATTTTTTGTTATTTGATTTCATTCTTTTTAACTTATCAAATACTTCATTATCAATTACATCTATCTTTTCAATTATTCCATTGAATACACTGAATCA